TGTGGCTAGGTGGTCATATGACTGGGTGGGCGTGGCCAACTCAATGTCACTCATGTCAAGGGGCACCTCACCAGCCTCTACTCGCCCCTCCCTTCCCAGCCACTCCTCACCTGCCCACCCGGTCTCCTTATGGCCCCAAGAGGGAGCAGTTGTTGGAGCTAAGCAGCCACCAGGAGAAAGAGTTGGCAAAACAGCTCAGTTCAGATTGGATCTGGCCGAGAAGGAGGCTCAGCAGAAGCGCCTCACTGAGGACTAGGAGCATAGGCTTTCCAAGCAGAGGGAAGACCTGCGGGAGTGCAAGGCCAGGTACCGGCGGCTGGAGGCTCAGCTGGCTGAGATGGTCAGCCAGTTCCAGGCCATGATGCAGTCCAACTGGAATAAAGTCCTCTGGCTCTTCGCCACCAGCGGTGATTCCCACCAGCCTTCGCCCAAAGCCCCCCACCAGGAGGCCGAAGCAGACCCCAAGTCGGAATTTCTGCCCCCCTCCGACCTGCACAAAAAGACCCCGAAGGGGGAGACTCTCTGCAGCAACACAAACGTTCATTGCACGTATCTGTCCCAGGGGCTGTAGTTTGAGGACCCCAGATTTAGTGCAATATAAAAAATGCAAATAATTTTTCTGCGGACCACCAAAATTTTCTCACGGACCACCAGTGGGTGACCACTGGTACAGAGTATTATATAGTATTAATGCATTACAAAAGTCCTCGATTTACAAGAGTTTCTTTAGTGACTGTTCAAAGTTGCAATGGCATGAAAAAAGCGACACAACGAATAATCTATAATTCAGTGTTTCTCAACCTTGGTAGCTTGAAGATGGGTGGACTTCAACTCCCAGAATCCCCCAGCCAGCGCTGCTGGCTGGGGGATTCTGGGAGTTGAAGTCCACCCATCTTCAAGCTTCCAAGGTTGAGAAACACTGCTATAATCAATTCCCAGTGTTTTATGGTTCCTTATCATCAATTCCCAATCTCCCCTATAATCATATATACACTTAGTTAATTAATACAGGTATTCTTCGACTTACGACCACCATGGAGCCCAAACTTTATGTTACTAGGCAAGACCTTTGTTAAAGTGGCATTTTGCCCCACTTTACGACTTTCCTGGCCACCGTTGTTAAATGAATCACTGCAGTCATTCAGTTAGTGACAGGGTCGTTCAGTGAATCTGGCTTCCCCAGTGACTTGGCTTGTCAGAAGGTCGCAAAAGGGGGATCACGGGACCCCTGGGACTCTGTGACCGTCATAAAAACGAGTCAGTTGCCGAGCGTCTGAATTTTGATCATGTGACCCTGGGGAGGCTGCAACGGTCGTAAGTATGAAAAACAGTCCTAAGTCACTTTTTTGTGTTCCGTTGTAACTTTGAACGGTCACTAAAACTCCCAGCTGAGAAAGCACCAGGGACCCACAGTCCTCCCCCTCCCTCTCCTCTCCTGCCTTCCTCCTCCTCCTCAATTACTCCACTCCCTTCTTACTACTGATGAGGGTCCCTAGGTGGGGAATAGGTTTGGGAGGCAAGGTTTGATCCTCCGCAGAGACACCATTGGTCACCCCCACGGAACTCCCCAAGCAAGCCCTCGAAGGACAGAAAGAAGGAAGGAAGGCTTGGGTAGAGGGGAAGAGGGCAAGGGATGGAAAGAGAAGAACCTAGCGGAACAGGCAAGGAAAGGGAAGAGGGGAAGGGGGAAGGAAAGAACCTCCTTCCTTCAGGCCGGGAGGGAAGGCCAGAAACTTCAGAAATCCAGGGCGGAAGGGGAAGGAAGGAACCCTCCTTCCCTCCGGAAGTCCTTCGGATCCCAAACCTCCCTCCCAACGTGAGGAACTCCCCTCCCTCGGGCAGAGCCAGAGCATCCCTCATGCACCTTCAGGCGGAAGGAAGGACTTCCCTCCCTCCCTCCACTCCCGACTGGCTTCCTTCCTTCCTTCCTTCCTTCCCTCCCTATCTCCCTCCCTCCTTCCTCCTTCCCTCCCTCCCTCCCTCCTTCTTCCTTCCTTCCTTCCCTTCCCTTGATCTTCCCTTTCCTTCCCTCCCTCCCTCCTTCTTTCCTTTCCTTCCTTCCCTCCCTCCCTCCTTCCTTCCTTCCTTCCTTTCCTTCCCTCCCTCCTTCCTTCCTTCCTTCCTTCCTTCCTTCCTTCCTTCCTTGCTGATGTTCCCTCCTGGGTTACGAAACATCTGCAAGAAAATCCACCCAGCTCAGAGATAAGTGTTGCCAGGTGTCCACCATTTGAGCGGACAGTCCCCTTTTTTTCCCATTATGTTCACTATTTTTTTTTTTTCACAAAACAGTGGACATTTTTTTTTATTTCAAAAGCTTGATGATTAAAATTAAAATGTATTTCCTTTTTTTGCATATCACGATGATATATTTCCCTCCGTCTTGAATTTTAAGTAAAGTTTTGAAGTGATTTTTTTAATACGTGTTAAAATCCTTGTAAGAAAATATATAATTTCCTTGTAAAAAAAATTTTTTTTTTGTTTTTTTACTACTTACCCCCCACCCACCCACCCACCCTCCCACTCACCCCCGCTTGTCTGCTATTTTTGGGGGGAAGCAGACCTGGCAACCCTACCAGAGTCAGAGACCACCAAGGACCCCACACTCCTCCTCCTCCCCCCCACAACCCCCCGGAGCAACGCAGGACCCCAAACGCGGCTGGTTCCCACGGTCCAAAGACGAGGCTCCTCGCCCGTTCACGCGAGCCACAAGGGCCAGCAAAGCCGCGGGGGTGGGGTGGGGGGTTTACTGGAGAGTGGGGTGGCGGGGGGGGCGATGCCGGGCATCCTTGGGGTGCGTGGGTGTGTGTGTGGGGGGGGGTCTCTCTCATTGCTCCGGGGGCGTGGGAAGCAAAGAGGCGGAGGAGGAGGAGGATGGAGAGGAGGCTCGAAAGTGCCGGCGCTGATGCTCAGCTGAGCCGGACTTATAGGGCGGAGCGCTGGGGAGGAGAGTAGGGGAGAGGCGGAGCGGGGCCGAGCCGAGCCGAGCCGGGCTATGGGGCTGCTGAATTTCACCCGCGAGCCGGTGCCGGAGGCGGTCAGCGCCGACCTGCAGCTGCTCAACCAGCTGAGCGCGCAGGTGGCGGGGCGCAGGGGACCATTGGGTGGGGGGGGGGGGGGGGGAAAGGTAGAGAGGAGGGGGCTTGCCTTCTTCTTCCCCTGGCCTGGAGGGGGTCACTTGGCCATGTAGTTCCCCCCCCTTCTGAGAATGGGGAGGGGGCTCCCTGCAGGGTGGGCTGCCCTCCCGGAGGGGGCTTCTTCCTTCCGAGGGTCTTAGATGGCTTTTTTAAGCCAGGGGTCTCCAACTTTGGGCACTTTACGACGGGGGGGAGTTGAAGTCCCCCCCCCCGTCGTAAATGCCCAAAGTTGGAGACCCCCCTGCTTTTAAGCAGCAAGGGAGGGTTTAAGGCAGGATGCCAAAGCCCATCTGTTAATTAATTAATTAAGTAAAACCTCTTGCATTTATTGGACCAGGCTAGTTGCAACTGTGCCAACCTGCAAGAAGGGCGTTCAGACATTTCCCCTTAAACCACGATTCGTTGGCCTGTGTCGATGCCAACCCATGGTGGTTTCTTCGACAGGTCCTGGGGATTGTAACGCCTTGCCTTGCTTTGCAATAGGTCGCAGGGGTGGGCAATTTGTGGCTCTTTTGCAAGCTGTGGACTTCAACTCCCAGAATTCCTGAGACAGACTCAGGGATTCTGGGAGTTGAAGTCCACAGGTTGTAAAAGAGCCACAATTGCCCACTCCTGCAATAGGGCACCAGGTTTTTCATCTGGGGATGATGGGTCTGGCGCCTATTGTGCCGGGCTGGGCTTTTAAGTCATGGGACTTTCTGAGCCGGGTGGTTTTTCTTGCAGACGTTTCGTGACCCAGCTAGGGAACATCATCAGTGCTGGATGGAAGGGAGTGTGGGGTCTGTGGGGAAAAGGAGGAGGAGGAGGAGTCTGGGGTCCTTGGTGCTCTCTGAACTTTTTTTTTTTTTTTTGGCAGATGTTTTGCCACCCAGCTAGGGAACATGCAGAGCAAAATCCCCTTCCTTCCTAGTCCTGATGATATTACCTAGTTGGGTCATGAAACATCTGCAAAAATTTAAATAAATATAAATATATAGAAAAGCGATAGCAGAAAAAGACCCACTGGTCCATCCAGTCTGCCTTTTGAATTTTTTGTTTTCTTTTTAATTCTATTATTATAAATGTATTAAAATGTATTTCAATTTTTGTCCGATGATGGACATGGGCTTGTCCCAAGTATGTTTAAACTCAGTTATAGAGGATCTCCACTGGAAGTTGGTTCCAAGCTTCCAATACAGCTAGTCCTCGACTTACGACCACAATTGAGCCCAAAATTTCTGTTGTTAAGTGAAACATTTGATTCAGTGAGTTTTGGCCCCATTTTATGACTTTCCTTGCCACTGTTGCTAAGTGAATCTCTGCAGTAGTTGGTAAGTTAGTAATCCGGTCGTTAAATGAATCAGAAGGTTGCAAAAGGGGATCACGTCAACCTCCGAGTCACTGCGACTGTCATAAGTACGAGTCAGTTGCCAGGTGTCTTAATTTTGATCATGTGACTGTAGGGATACTGCAATAGTCATAACTCACAACTCACTTTTTTTTAGTGCCGTTATAACTTCAGCCACTAAATGAACTGTTGTAAATTGAGGACTACCTGTATAGTGGGATTAGGACCGAGCTCAGAGACCACCAAGGACCCCCCACGGTTCAACCCAGAGCTACAAAAATTGCCCGGCTTTAAATTTAAAATTCAGAGGCCTTTCGTGAAATTGAAAGAAAAAAATGGTGGGGAGGGGGGAAGAATCCCCGATTCCCCCAGACCTCTGTGGGCTGCCTCCTTGGGAGTGGGTGGGCTTGCAGACCAGAGTTGCGGGTTGGATGACCAGCCCACCTGTCCCTCCCCAAAAGAGGGGAGAAGACGAGGAGGGGAGGTGGGGGGGGCAAGGAAGAACTGGTGGGGGAAAAAAATAATGGAGTTTTGTCTTCCGGGAACTTAGTGGCACAAACTTCGATTTTTGTGACTTTGCGGTTTTGCAAACGGTCTGAGTCATCATTTCTCGACAGCGTGGCTGTTTTGGGGGCCGGTCGCAGCTCCCCGGCAGCCATTTTGTGAATGCCCAAACCCCCTTCTCGCTAACCAGGCAGCCATTTTCTATAATCCCCCTAACCCCTCCCCCTCCTCCGGTTCTGAAACACTCAAAATGATGGGCAGCCCACAAGGATGCTGTGGTCCTTTGGGGACTCACGTCAGGGGCTGCCGGACCTGTACCACGTTCTGTACCACGTACCATGGTAGAGGGGGCTGGACTAGAAGACCTCCAAGGTCCCTCCCAGCTCTATTCTATTCTATTCTGCCAGGGGACAAAAGGGAGCAGAGGGTAATATTTTTTTGTTTTGTTTGTTTATATCTCACTTTTATTGTTTTTACAAATAGCTCAAGGTGGCCAGCGCATCCATCGCAGTTTCCTCCTCCTATTTTCCCTGCAACAACAATCCTGTGAGGTGGGTTGGGCTGAGAGGCTTTTATGCCTTAGGCGGAACTAGAACTCACCATCTCCTGGTGTTTGGCCCAAAGTCACCCAGCTAATTTTTGTACCTAAGGCAGGACTGGGGCTCCATGGGCCCAAAGTCTTTCTGCCAATTTTCCTGCCTAAGGCAGGACTAGAACTCGCAGCCTCCTGATGATTTAACGCAAAGTCACCCAGAAGGCTAGGGTAGGAATTTGAACTCGTGGCCTCCCGCTTTCTAGCCTTGGTACCTTCACCGCTGGCCTGGGGTCTCCAAACTTGACCAACTTTTAAGCCTCGTGGACTTCAACTCCCAGAATTCCTCAGCCAGCCAACTATAACATCCCTAATTCTAATCTGTGCTGGCTGGGGAATTCTGGGAGTTGTAGTCCACGAGGCTTAAAATCGCCAGGTTTGGACACGCCCCCTGCATTTAGTCCCAACTTTCTCTGTCTCTCTCTCTCTCTCGCTTATTTCTTTGTTGATTAAATTTATATGCTGCTTGTTTTAAGTCAGGAAGGAGGAAAGGAAGCGCGAAGCTTTTCCTGTTGGATGACGGTCTGTCTTCCTTCTTTTTCCCCAGCAATTTTCTACCCTCGTGGAAGTGCTTTTCCAATTCCTGCGAGAACCCAAAGAGGTAATCCACTTTTGGGAAGAGGGAGGGGGAGGAATCGAAAAAGGAGGGTTTCCCCCCCCTGGATGAAGCCCCCCCCCGGTTTTCTTTTAAGTGCGAGTGAAGGAGGTTTATAGGCGATGCTGAAAATATTTCTTCTATATAACAAAGTTTTCAATAATAGCATTATAGGTAGTCCTTGATTTATGACACAATTGGGAGCAGAATTTCAGTTGTATATTTGTGTGCATTCACACATACACAAACACAGAGTATACATACACATATGCAAACACATACACATATATATGTATATTATATACATATATGTTTTATATACATATATATTATATACACTGTGTACTTATATAATACTGTATATTATATACAGGTGGTCTTCAACTTACGACCACCACTGAGCCCAACATTTACGTTGCTAAGTGAGAAACGTGTTAAGTGAATTTTGCCCCATTTTACGACATTTCCTGCCACTGTTGTTAAGCGAAGCATTACAGGTGTTATATTAATAAGATGGTGGTTTAGTGAACCTGCCTTCCCCGTGGACTTTGCTTGACTTTGAAAGTTGCAAAAGGAAGAATCACGTGACCCCGGGGACACTGCAACCGTCATAAATACGAGTCAGTTTCCAAGTATCTTAATTTTGATGACGTGACCCTGGGGAGGCTGCAACTCTGGGACAAATGGTCATAAGTCACGTTTGTCAGTGCCGTCGTAAGTTAGAACGGTCACTAAATGAATCGTAAGTCTAGGACTACCTGTATAGAGTTGCAAAAGGCGATCACACACACTTTTTTTTTTTTTTTTAGTTTATATGCCGCCCTTCTCCGGAGACTCAGGGCGGCTTACAATGCGTTAAGCAATAGCCTTCATCCTTTTGTATATTTATACAAAGTCAGCTTATTGCCCCCACAATCTGGGTCCTCAATTTACCTACCTTAGAAAGGATGGAAGGCTGAGTCTACCTTGAGCCTTGGAGAGATTCGAACCAGCAGTAAATTGCAGGCAGCTGTGTTAATAACAGTGCTTTAGTCTGCTGCGCCACCAGGGCTCACATTTTATATATATATATATATATATATATATATGTCCCCTTTTACAACCTTCTCACAAGCAAAAGTCAGCGAGGAAACCAGATTCATTTAATAACCAGATTCACTTAGCAACTGTGGCAAGAAAGCATGTAAAATGGGGCAGTAGACCCTTAAGAAGTGTCTCACTTAGCAACGGAAACTTGGGGCCCAACTGTGGCCATAAGCCAAGGACGCCCTGTATTTTTCAGTTCTGCCAGCTAGCCTTTTTCCTTCCCACCCCCCTCTTCCAAATTGCCTCGAGGGCAACGAGATTTAGAGAAGAGGCCTCAAAGGGATCCCCTTGGAAAACCCATCGACAGCTATGAGCTCCTCCTCCCAGGGGACGCCCATGGAGTTGTGGTGAGCAGGGCAGGTCCTGCCCCTGAGACTCACTTTTACACGTGTGCAAGGGAAGTGTGAGAAACCTGGGGCAATGCACGCTTTGCTCTTGTGCCTGGCAGGTGGAGAGGTTCCTGGCTCACCTGTCCGACTTCGCTACAGGGAATAAAATCAGCCTCGGCCCTCTGAAGAGTATCATCAAAAGCCTCTTGCTGGTGCCCAGTGGTGAGTGTGGGGCAGGTCTATGGTAGGTCTCTGGGGTGGTGGTGGGGGGAGAGAACCACTCTGAAAGCCACTGTGGTCTTGGAGGTGAGGGGACCAGGCTAGAAATCCGGAGACAGGAAGTTCTAGTCCTGTTTTGGGTATGAAAGTTGGCTGGGTGACTTTGGGCCAATCACCAGGAGACAGTGAGTTCTAGTCCAGTCTTAGGCATGAAAGTTGGCTAGGTGACTTTGGGCCAATGACCAGGTGACTGTGAGTTCTAGTTCTGCCTTAGGCATGAAAGCTGGCTGGGTGATTTTGGACCAATCACCAGGAGACGGTGAGTTCTAGTCCTGCCTTAGGCATGAAAGCTGGCTGGGTGACTTTGGGGCCAATGACCAGGTGACTGTGAGTTCTAGTCCTGCCTTAGGCACGAAAGCTGGCTAGGTGAGTTTCGACCAATCACCAGGAGATGGTGAGTTCTAGTCCGGCCTTGGTCATGAAAGCTGGTTGCGTGACTTTGGGCCAATGACCAGGAGACTGTGAGTTCTAGTCCCGCCTTAGGCACGAAAGCTGCCTAGGTGAGTTTGGATCAATGACTTAGACTTACAATAACTTTATTGACCCTTTGAATGTACACTAATCGGCATACATTAAAATGAAACTTCATTGCATACAGCTCTCAAAGGGTCACCACCAGGAGAGGGTGAGTTCTAGTCCTGCCTTAGCCAGGAAAGCTGACTAGGTGCTTTTGGGCCAATCACCAGGAGAGGGTGAGTTCTAGTCCTGCCTTAGCCATAAAAGCTGGCTGGGTGTTCTTTGGGTCAATAACCAGGAGAATGTGAGTTCTAGTCCTACCTTAGGCAAAAGCTGGTTGTGGTACATTCATCGTCTTGAGTTCCCTACAAAGTAATAAAGGCAGGATAAAAAAATCTAATAAATAAATAAACAAACGGGGGCAGAAGAGGGGAGGATAAGGAAAAATCTCTCCTCCACCTGAAAGAAAACACATTTGGGGTTCAGTCTGGTGCATCCCCTTTGCTCAAAGGCTTCTGCAAGATCAGAAGTTTCCCTCCAAATGACGGGCATTGTGTAGTCATGACCCCCCCCCAACCCCTGTCCTTAGGTATGTGCATACACAATGCCCATCCGAAAGGGTGGGGTTTATAGTGCAATTCTGCTTTTGTCAGTTGTGATGGGCAATCTCACTCACACACACAGAGTGCAGAAATCTTTAATCTTCAAAGAACTTCCCAGAAGACCCAACAGCTTAATAATTTTCTTTCTTTCTTTCTTTCTTTCTTTCTTTCTTTCTTTCTCTTTCTTATCTTTCTTTCTTTCTCTTTCTTTTCTTTCTCTTTCTTTCCCTATCATTTATCAATCATCTATTTATCTATTTATCTATCTATCTTCTATATCAGTGGTGAAATCCAAATTGTTTTACTACCAGTTCTGTGGGCGTGGCTTGGTGGACGTGGTAGGGGAAGGATACTGCAAAATCTCCATTCCCACCACACTCCTGGAGCCAGCAAGAGGTGGTATTTGCCGGTTCTCTGAACTACTCAAAATTTCTGCTACCGGTTCTCCAGAACCTGTCAGAATCTGCTGGATTTTACCCCTGATCTATATCTTTATGTATCTGTCTATTTGTCTGTCCATCTCTATCTATCTATCTATCTATCTATCTATCTATCTATCTATCTATCTATCTATCTATCTATCTATCTATCTATCTACTTACCTACCTACCTACCTACCTACCTACCTATCTAATTTCTACACTGCCCATCACTTAACTAACTGGGCATTTTAAAAACCACAATATACAGTAATATAAAATGGTACTGAAAAGCCCAGTTAAGAATAGAGTTTATAAAATACGGTTTTGACAAGCGAAAAGCAAAAATCAAAGATAAAATGTTTACAAAGCTAAAACTGAATTATGTGAACTCAGGGTGGTTTTTCTGAGTCGCAGTTTGCCACTGGTGCGTAGCTCCAGTTCTTTCCACTCGATTCAGAAGGTGTCATAAGAAATTCTGATTGTAATGGAATTTCTTACCCTCCAGTGCAATCTACCAGGCATTATAAGAAGCAGCAAACAGTCTTGCTGCTAAGAAAAAGAGAGCTGATAGGAGGCAAAGAAATAACTACAGATAAGAAGACCTACAGAAGGGAACATGGGCAGCTCAGGGTTGAATTGTGCGTTCCTTGGTGCTCTCTGAATTGTTTTCTTGCAGACGTCTCATGACCCAACTAGGTAACATCATCAGTCTTAGAAGGAAGGATTTTCTCTCTGTTTATATACAAGTGGCTTTCGCTGTTAGTGTTGATGGGAATGTTGTTTTCCTTTCGGTGGTTCTTTGATTAGCCTATGGTTTATTGTTAGTTTGTTTGTCTAAGTTGGTAGTTCCTTGATTGGGGTATTGTTTATTACTGTAAACCAGTGGTGAAATCCAATTTTTTTTACTACTGGTTCTGTGGGTGTGGCTTGGTTTGGTGGGCGTGGCAGGGGAAGAACACTGCAAAATCTCCATTCCCACCCTACTCCAGGGAAAGGATACTGCAAAATCCCCATTCCCACCCCACTCTGGGGCCAGCCAGAGGTGGTATTTGTCAGTTCTCTGAACTGCTCAAAATTTCCGCTACCAGTTCTCCAGAACCTGCTGGATTTCACCCCTTCTATAAACTAAAGTAAAATAAAAAATAAGATTAAAATAAAAATTTAATGTAATGTAATGTAATGTAATGTAATGTAATGTAATGTAATTTAATTTAATTTAATTTAATTTAATTTAATTTAATTTAATTTAATTTAATTTTAAAAAATTAAAATAAAAAAGTAAAGTAAAATAAACCAGGTTTGGATTGGATTGCAAGCATCCTGTTTGGCCAGAATTTAGCTTTCTTGTTTTAATTGATTTAGTTTGATAGTTTTATTTTTATTTTATGTGCCTTTTCATCTTTAATTGGGACTCATCCCGAGTTCTTTGAAAGATAGACAGCTATATAAACCTTTCAAATAAATTAAAATAAGAAGAGATATAACCAAATAAAAAATAGCAATGAAACAAAATATAATGTACAATGGAATAATAATAAAACAAGTAAAAAATAAAATAGAAATAAAATACATAAAATAACCTTCAGATTTCTTTGAAAGATGGGCAGCTATATAAATGTTTTAAATAAAATAAATAGAAAACAAATAATATCAAATAAAAAATAAAAATGAAATAAAAGTAGAAATCAAATAAAAATAACAATAAAATTAAAAATAGAAATAAAGTAATAAAACAAAAAATAGAAACAAAATAAAATAAACTTCAATAAAACAAAAAATAGAAACAAAATAAAATAAACTTCAAATAATAAAACAAAAAATAGAAATAAAATAAAATAAACTTCAAATAATAAAACAAAAAATAGAAACAATAAAATAAAATATAAATAAACTTCAAACAATAAAACAAAAAATAGAAACAAAATAAAATAAACTTCAAATAATAAAACCAAAAATAGAAACAAAATAAAATAAAATAAAAAATTTGAAATAATAAAACAAAAAATAGAAAAAATAAAATAAACTTCAAATAATAAAACAAAAAATAGAAATAAAATAAAATAAATTGAAATAATAAAACAAAAAATAGAAAAAATAAAATAAACTTCTAATAATAAAACAAAAAATAGAAACAAAATAAAATAAAATAAATTTGAAATAATAAAACAAAAAATAGAAAAAATAAAATAAACTTCAAATAATAAAACAAAAAATAGAAACAAAATAAAATAAAATAAATTTGAAATAATAAAACAAAAAATAGAAAAAATAAAATAAACTTCTAATAATAAAACAAAAAATAGAAACAAAATAAAACAAACTTCAAATAATAAAACAAAAAAGAAACAAAATAAAATAAAATAAACTTCAAATAATAAAACAAAAAATAGAAACAAAATAAAATAAAATAAATTTGAAATAATAAAACAAAAAATAGAAACAAAATAAAATAAATTTGAAATAATAAAACAAACAAATAGAAACAAGATGAAGTAAAATAAACTTCAAATAATAAAACAAACAAATAGAAACAAGATAAAATAAAATAAACTTCAAATAATAAAAGAAACAAACAGAAACAAGATAAAATAAAATAAACTTCAAATAATAAAACAAAACAATAGAAACAAAATAAAAATTTAAAAAGCTTCAAATTTAGGGTGCAGATTTGCAAGCACGGCAATGGCCGAAGTTAGCTTTTACTTGTTTTTCTCCCATAAATTAGCTCTGTGGTGGGGAGGTCAGTCCCTGCCTTATCTTCCATTTGTGTCTTTGTCAACTGGGCTCCCTTTTTTTACACAATGTTTATTCCAGGTGCCTTAAAGCGGAGCCTGTCTGCAGAACAAGTCCGAGCAGATCTTATCACCCTGGGTAGGTCTCTCCCCTGCTCTGCCCCATTTAGTTCTCTGGGGGGGCCACTGGCTTCACTCCTCCTGTTTGACCACCTCCAATTTCTCCTGCAGGGCTGAGCGAGGAAAAGGCCAGGTATTTTGAAGAACAGGTAAGCGCTTTCCTCCGTGGGCCAGGATCGCCTTTTGCAATTTAAACCACCATCTCCAAAATTGCAGAGGGAATCCAAGTCTCTTTTCCAAACCTGCAACTTTAATTCTTTCCTATTTTCTCGCTGTAAGAAGTATCTGTAAATGCTGTTTTTCTCCCTGGAAAATTCTTAGGTAGCTTTCTAAGGCCATGTCTCTCCGCTTTGACAACTTTTAAGAGGGGTGGACTTCAACTGGAGTCCACTCCTCTTAAAGCATGCTGGCTGGAGAATTCTGGGAATTGAAGTCCATCCAATTTAAAGGGTGCTTTCTAGAGAATTCTAGGAGTTGAAGTCCATCCCTCTTAAAAATATACTGGGTGGAGAATTCTGGGAAATTGAAGTCCATCTAACTTAAAGTATGCTAGGTGGGGAATTCTGGGAATTGAAGTCCGCCCATCTTAAAAATATACTGGCTGGAGAATTCTGGGAATTGAAGTCCATCCAACTTAAAGCATGCTTTCTAGGGAATTCTAGGAGTTGAAGTCCACTCCTCTTAAAGCATGCTGGGTGGGGACTTCTGGGAGTTGAAATACACCCTCCTTAAAGAATGCTAGCTGAGGAATTCTGGGAGCTGCAGTCCATTCCTCTTAAAAGTTGCTGAGATTGCGAAACATTATTCTAAGGTTAAAAATCACGCAAATGAGTGAGATCATTGTGTGAAGGGTTATTTTGCAAGTTAATTTTTGGTTTGGTTCAATCAAACCAATCAGTTGACTTAACTCTTCAAACTGCAGCTAAGTGCTGTAAACCATCTTTACTTAATGCATTGTGTGAACACAGCCAGCAGGTTTCAGTGTAAATTCACCACAATGTAAAAAAGATGTGGAGACTCTAGAGAGAGTGCAGAGAAGAGCAACAAAGATGATTAGGGGACTGTAGGCGAAAACATACAAAGAACGGTTTCAGGAACTGGGTATGTCTAGTTTGATGAAGAGAAGGACTAAGGATGACATGATACCAGTCTTCTAATATCTCAGGGGTTGCCCCAAAGAAGAGGCAGTCAAGCTATTCTCCGAAGCACCAGAAGGCAGGACAAGAAGCAATGGATGGAAACTAATCAAGGAGAGAAGCAACTTAGAACTAAGGAGAAACTTCCTGACAGTTAGAACAATTAATCAGTGGAAGCCTCCAGAAGTTGTGAATGCTCCAACACTGGAAGCTTTTAAGAAGAGATTGAACAGCTGTTTGTCTGAAATAGTATAAGGTTTCCCGCTTGCACAGAAGGTTGGACTAGAAGACCTCCAAGGTCCCTTCCAACTCTTGTTATTCTGTTCCACAATTGTGCCTGTGACGACACCATAATGATTAATAAATTCAAATAAAATAAAAATGCCAAATTAGGTCCCAGCTCTTACTCAGCTGCGGGGAAATTCCCTTGCAGTCTTCAGACCCCATGGACACTGTATTAAAACCATCACTGATTCCATTCTTGTCTTTTTTTTTATTTTTAAAAAGTTTTTTTATTAATAATTCAAATTTAAAAAAACAATTGACATGGTTTGACATCTCCGGTTTCTAACATTTCTGTGTAATTCAAATGAATAAATAATATATTCCTTAACCTATCACTCTTCTCTTTTTTGCCTTCGTCCCAGTGGAAGGAAACTTCTCCCGCCCTCTCACGCCTGGCTGTGGGGCAGACGCTGATGGTTAATCAGCTAACAGACATGGAGTGGAAATTTGGAGGTGAGTTCTTTTCTGGGGGGCTGTGGGGCAGAGAGGGTTCCTTTGCCAATTCCTTCGTATCGATCTTTTTTGCTGCTGGTTTCTCTCTCCAATAGTGACGGCCGGAAGCAGTGAGATGGAGAAAGTAGGAAGCATTTTCCTGCAGGTAAGACACATTTGGGGAAGGGACAGGTAGAACCAGGAGAGAGGGGAGAGTCAGAAATTGGCACAGGCCTCAGGGGAGGGGCTTGAGGAGACCTCATACAGGTAGTCCTCGAGTTATAACGTGACCAAAGTTATAACAGCACTGAAAAAAAGGAACTTACGGCCATTTTTCACATTTACGACTGTGGTCACACCATCAAAATTCGAACGCTTGGCAACTGACTCGAATTTATGACAGGGTTGTAGTGTCCTGGAGTCAGTGATTTCCCCTTTATATATAGGCAGTTCTCGACTTACAACTGTTTTTTTTTTTTTGTGACCGGAGTTACAGCAGTCCTGAAAAAAGTGACTGGTGAACTTTTTTCACACTTACAACTGTTGCATCGTCCCCGTGGCCACATGATCAAAATTCAGAGGCTTGGCAACTGGCCTGGATTTATGACGGTTGCAGCATCAGGTGGTCTGAGGGGTGAAATCCAGTAGGTTCTGACAGGTTCTGGAGAACCGGTAGCAGAAAATTTTGAGTAGTTCGGAGAACCGGTAAATGCCACCTCTGGCTGGCCCCAGGAGTGGGGAGGGAATGGGGATTTTGCAGTATCCTTCCCACAGGAGTGGGGTGGGAATGGGGATTTTGCAGTATCCTTCCCCCAGGACTGGGGTGGGAATGGGGATTTTGCAGTATCCTTCCTCCAGACTGGGATGGGAATGGGGATTTTGCAGTATCCTTCCCTGCCACGCCCACAGAACCGGTGGTAAAAAAATTTGGATTTCACCACTGGGTGGTTCGCCTTTTGCGAGCTTCCAACAAGCCAAGTGCACGGGGAAGCCAGATTCACTTAACAACCATGTGACTGACTTAACCACCACAGAGATTCACTTAGCGACGGTGGCGAGGAAGGCCATAAAAGGGGGCCAAAGTGACTTAACCGCCGTCTCGCTTAGCAATGGAAATTTGGGGCTCGCATTGTGGTCGTAAATCGAGGACTATCTATAAGCTATTTTCTTTCCATATTTTCCCCAAAATGGACAATTATTCAAACTTCCCTGTATTTCGGCAAATACAGAATAAATTTCGGTTAGTCTAGAGGAAAGAAGGACTGGGTGGGACATGATAGCAGTCTTCCAATATTTGAGGGGCTGCCCCAAAGAAGAGGGGCTCAACTTATTGTCCAAAGCACAGAAGGTAGAACAAGAAACAACAGATGGAAACTAATCAAGGAAAAAAATCAACCTAGAATTGAGGAGAAACTTCCTAATAGTGAGGACAATTAACCAGTGGAACAGCTTGCCACCAGAAGTTGTAGATGCTCAATCACTGGAGGTTTTTTAAAGAAGTGACTGGACAGCCACTTGATAGAAATAGTATAGGATCTCCTGCTTGAGCAGTGGGTTGGTCTAGAAGACCTCCAAGGTCCCTTCCAACTCTTGTTATTCTGTAAGGGTCTCCTGCTTGGCCAGGGGTTTTTTTTCTGCCCCAGCTACGGACCCCAAAGAACGCAGCACACACAAAGTCTGTACAAATCTTAGTTTACTAAATTAAATCAGTTTTTTTCAAACAAAGGCTGTCAATTAACTTTCTTAACAGCCTACAAGAATCCAAAGAATAAATAATCGTAATCTTATTATGGTTGGCCGAAAGCCCAGAAGCAATTTGCAGGAAGCTGATAAGAGAACTAAGATCAGGACGCGAAGGAGAGTGAACGAAGTTGTTCCCTGCAACTTGCTTAAGTTGGTGTTCCTCCTTAAATAGGCTAAGGCAGTGGTCCCCAACCTTTTTATCGCCGCGGACCAATCAGCCTTTGATAATTTTACCGTGGCCCGCTGAGCGCACGCAGGGGTGGGGGCTTTGGGCCACACGTGCGTACCTGCGCGGGGCTCTCTTCCCTGGAGCCTTTGCGCACGGCCCAGGAGCTTTTGCGCTGCAGCGTTCATGTCCCCCGGCCGCTGCGCGGCCCGGTGCCAGGTACTCCATGGCCCGGCACCGGTCCGCGGACCGGGGGTTGGGGACCACTGGGCTAAGGGAGTGGCCAATTAGCCCCAAGCCTTACTCTCGAGGAGACCTCCTCCTGAGGAGCCACTCCTGCTTTCTGGCAGCTCTGCGCACCCGTGCATCGGGAAGAGGCTCCTCCTCTTCGTCCTCTTCACTTATGGGAGCTTCTGGAGGTTCTGAAGGCCCTGGCTGAATCCCCGCCTCTGGCACCACATCTTCTCCAGCCTCCTCACTGTCCGACTCGAGTGCCAGCTGCACAGGCTGCTGGCGCAACATCACACCAGCCTCCTCGCTGTCAGAATCAGTTACAATCCGCACAGGCCGCTGATGGGCCACAACACTGTTGCACTAGAAGGTCCCTTCCAGGTCTATTCTGATTGTGATTCTGAAATCCAAGAATCTTAAATTTCACTTTTTGTATCTTCCAAGTGTTCCGTAGTGGGAGATTCCAGGGGTTGCATTTTGGTTTCTAACATCTGCCTCCTTTGCTGAAACTCACCCAACTTTTCACAACTTGTCATCTCCTTGTAGCTGAAACTGGTGGTTAAGAAAGGCAGCCGGCTGGAACCAGTATATCTAGGTAAGTAAGCCAGCATTGTCTGTGGGAAAACTCTGCAAGTAAAGGGAGAGAGGCTTGAAGATGGGTGGACTTCAACTCCCAGCTGCTGGCTGGGGGATTCTGGGAGTTGAAGTTACCCATCTTCAAGCTTCCAAGGTTGAGAAACACTGAGCTACAGGAATTCCTTGACTTACAACTGTTCGTTTAATGACCCTTCGTAGTTACAAAAAGAACTGAAAAAAAATAACTTGTGACCATTGCGGCATCCCCGTAGTCACGTGATCAGAATTCAAAGGCTTGGCAACTGGCATGGACTTATGACAGTTGCAGTGTCCCGGGGTTTCGTGATCGACACCATTTGGGAACTTCTGAGCTGGTTCCGACATGCAAAGGTCCGACATGCAAAGAGCCTTGGTAGTACAGTGGTTTAATGCAGCCTGTTATTAACACAGCTGCCTGCAATTTCTGCAGGTTCGAATCTCACCAGGCTCAAGGTTGACTCAGCCTTCCATCCTTTCTAAGGTAGGTGAAATGAGGACCCATTTTGTGGGGGCAATAAGCTGACTTTGCATAAATATACAAAAAGGATGAAGGCTATTGCTTAACGCATTGTAAGCCGCCCTGAGTCTCCGGAGAAGGGCAGCATATAAATCAAATTAAAAAAAAAAAAAAAAGGTTCAATGGGGAAGCTAGATTCACTTAATGGCCGTGGGATTCACTTAGCAACAACATGGATTCATATAATGACGGTGGTGAAGAATGTTGTAAAATGGGGCATGATTTTCTGAACAACTGTCTTGCTTAGCAACCGAAATGTGGTCGTAAATCGAGGATTACCTGTACTGAGTTATAAGAGCCGTGTTTGTTGACAGCCGTGTTTTAATTCTTAATGTTGAATGTTTTTAACGCTTTCCAAGTTCTTACTGTTTTTGTTTCATTTTGTCAAATAACAACACCTTCATTGTTATTTTTTTGATAAATAACTCAAGTGGCAGACATACCTTAGGCACAAAAGCCGGCTGGGAGACTTTGGGCCCATCACCAGGGGACGGTGAGTTCTAGTCCTGCCTTAGGCACGAAGGCCCCCTGGGTGACTCAGTCCCCCCCTCTCTCAGCTCAATCCACCTCACAGGGTTGTTGTGATGGGGGAAAGTGGAAAGAACATTAGGTATGTTTGGTGCCTTGAGTTAAAATGAAAGAAAAAAGAAAATGGGATAAAGAAATCTAATTTTTTTAAAAAAACTGGAAATTACAATAGAATAGAGAATGGAATGGAATGGGATGGAATGGAATGGAATGGAATGGAATAGAATAGAATAGAATAGAATAGAATAGAATAGAATAGAATAGAGAATGAAATAATGAATATGATGGAATGGAAAGGAAAGGAAAGGAAAGGAAAGGAAAGGAAAGGAAAGGAATGGAATGGAATGGAATGGAATAGAATAGAATAGAATAGAATAGAATAGAATAGAATAGAATAGAAATAGAAAATAGAAAATAATACAAAATAATACAAAATAATACAAAATGGAATGGAATGGAATGGAATGGAATAGAGAATGAAATAATGAATATAATGGAATGGAATGGAATGGAACAGAAATAGAATAGAATAGAATAGAATAGAATAGAATAGAATAGAATAGAATAGAATAGAATAGAATAGAATAGAATAGAATAGAATAGAATAGAATAGAGAATGAAATAATGAATATGATGGAATGGAATGGAATAAATAGGAATAGAATAGAATAGAATAGAATAGAATAGAATAGAATAGAATAGAATAGAATAGAATAGAATAGAATAGAATAGAATAGAGAATGAAATAATGAATATGATGGAATGGAAAGGAAAGGAATGGAATGGAATAGAATAGAATAGAATAGGGAATGAAATAATGAATATGATGGAATGGAATGGAATGGAATAAATAGAAATAGAAATAGAATAGAAATAGAATAGAATAGAATAGAATAGAATAGAATAGAATAGAATAGAATAGAATAGAATAGAATAGAATAGAATAGAATAGAATAGTTGGAAGGGAGCTTGGAGGTCTTCTAGTCCAACCCCGTGCTCAGCCAGGAAGCCCTATAGTACCATTTCAGACAAGTTTGAGTAGCTAATCCTGAACCTTTCGCTCCTTCTCCTTCCAGAATTAACCCTGCCCCAGTTTTACAGCTTCCTTCACGAGATGGAAAGGATGAAGTCCAGCCTGGAGAGCCTCAGCTGATTTTCCTGCCCACCAGACTCTGCAGGACATCTGGACCTCAGGACCAAGACCATTCCTTCCTTCCGCTGGGGGGGTGGGGGTGGGGGTGGGAATTGCAATCCATTCTGGATTGAGTGGGCGAAATACAGTTTCACGGTTAAAATGGTTTGTACAACCTGTCGGTCCCGGTTTGCATCAAAGGACAAGATGGGAAATGGTTTGTGGAAGCAAAACTGAAATGGAAAATAAAAGTTTCTCCTTTCAAACAAGGAAGTGGGAGCCCCTCAGTTTGCTCCCCCACCACCACCACAGTGCCAGCATGAAGACAAACGCCAATAAAGGAAAATTGTGTGTAGCACAGGGTTAAAATATGGGAATCCTTTGGTACTCTCAGCTTGATTTTTTTCCTTGCAGACGTTTCATGACCCAACTAGGTAATATCATCAGTGCTAAAAGGCGATAGACAACTGGGCTGGGCACAGCTCTTGTACCTAAGCCAGTGTTTTCCTAACCTTAAAACTATTTTGAGATGTGTGGACTTCATCTCCCAGAATTCCCCAGCCAGCATGGATCAGTGTTCCTCAATTTTAGCCATTTTAGAATATGTGGACTTATTCTAATCAGATCTGATCTGAACTGAAGTGGTGTAGGGTTTCCTGCCTGAGCAGGGGGTTGGACTAGAGGACCTCCAAGGTCCCTTCCAACTCTTGTTATTCTATTCTATTCTATTCTATTCTATTCTATTCTATTCTATTCTATTCTATTCTATTCTATTCTATTAATTCCATTCCATTCCATTCTCTCCCTATTCTATTCTATTCTATTCTATTCTATTCTATTCCATTCCATTCCATTCTCTATTCTACTCTATTCTACTCTTCATTCCAGTATTCTATTCTATTCTATTCTATTCCATTCCATTCCATTCCATTCTTCCATTCCATTCCATTCCATTATCTATTCTATTCTACTCTATTCTACTCTATTCTACTCTACTCTATTCTATTCTATTCTATTCCATTCCATTCCATTCCATTCCATTCCATTCTCTATTCTACTCTATTCTACCTTCATTCCAATATTCTATTCTATTCTATTCTATTCTATTCCATTCCATTCTATTCCATTCCATTCCATTCCATTCCATTCCATTATCTATTCTATTCTATGCTATGCTATGCTATGCTATGCTATTCTATTCTGTTCTGTTCTGTTCTGTTCTGTTCTGTTCTGTTCTGTTCTGTTCTATTCTATTCTATTCTAAAAGGTTTGGGGGAAGGAGAAGGAGGAGGACTGTCGAATCCTTGGTGCTCTCTGTACTTGGTTGTCTCTTTGTATAGTACTGGCCACAATTGTGGAAACCTTTTGGGGCAAGTATATTTTTGAAGTTTGATGGTTAATAACATCACTTTCTTTTTTTGGAGTTTCAAGATGATCCTATTCCACTGCTGGAATGGCCTGGGAATAGCCCAGACCTTCACCCAATTGAAAAATCTATGGAGCTGATTCAAGAAACTTGTTAAGTCAGAAGCGACCCAGCAATAAAACCCAGTTAATAGAAGCCATCATTCAATCTTGGTTTCACATTAGAACAGCTGCAGAACTCAAAAGTCTTGGTTCATTCCATGGGAAGACGTAAGGCCGTCATTCATGCTAAAAGCTTACCCAACTAAGGATTAACTGACATGGGGATCATTTTTGTATATCTCGTTTTTTTCTACGTGTTTCACTTTTCTTCTCTATACTGTCACTGCTATTCTAATAGCAAATCCGTCATAAAAGTTATTGCATTACATTCTTGATTAAATTATCTTTCCATTGGTATGTAATTTTATGATACCACTCCAAAAACAAGTGGTGTTATTACGATTAGCTAGTTTTAGAAAATACACTTTTCCCAAAAGGTATCTACAATTTTGGCCGCTACTATTAACGTTTCATTGCCCAACTAGGTAACATCATTAGTGCTAGAAGGAAGTGAGGTCTGTAGAGAGGAGGAGGAGGAGGACAACTGTGGGAATCCTTGGTGCCCTCTAAGCTGTTTCCTTGCCAACATTTCATTACCCAAAATAGCTGATACCATCACTGCTCTGCTGACGTTGGGTCATGAAATATCTGCGAGAAATCAACCAAGCTCAGAGAGCACCTCAAGAAGTTAAAAAGTGTTCTAAGGTTACACCAGATCTCAAAAGCCTCTGCTGTGGCTTCTTCTCCCCATTGAGGTGGGCAGCAATTGTCCGAAGAGTCCCTAAACCAGAATGGGACAACAGTCCCCTCTTTCACCAGAGCTGTCAAAAATTCCCTGGGATCTCTGAGTGGTCTCCCATTCTTAGGCCCAAATTTGAAAGACGATGCAGTGAGTTCTTCTTGAGTCTAGTTCTGTATTTGCTTAGAGTCACCTTGTAGGGGAGTTGGGCGGCATAGAAATTTAATAAGAGAGAGAGAGAGAGAGAGAGAGAGAGAGAGATGATAAATGATTGATTGAGAGAGAGAATATATTGAGAAAGAATAAAGTGAAAAAGAGATGATAATAGTGAGGGAGAAAGAAAAAAATAGATAATAGTTTGAGAGAGAGGAAATGAGAGCGAATAGATTGGGAAAGAGTAAGAATAGAGAGAAAGATGATAGATAATGCCGTAGATAGGGAGGGAGAAAGAGAAAAAATAGAAAATTGAGAGAGAACAGAACAGAATAGAATACAAATACAAATACAAATAATACAAATTCCTTGTGTGTCCAATCACACTTGGCCAATAAAGAATTCTAATCTAATCTAAATAGAAATAGAATAGAATAAGAAAGAATAGAAGAGTAGAGTAGAATAGAACAGAACAGAACAGAACAGAATAGAATGGAATAGAATTGTTTATTGGCCAAGTGTGATTGGACACTCAAGGAATTTGTCTTTGGTGCATATGCTCTCAGTGTACATAAAGAAAAATAAAATACATCCATCTAGAATCATAAGATACAACACTTAGTGATAGTCACAGGTTACTAAACAAGCAATCAAATCATACTAGGAAACAAAACAATATAAATCGTAGAGATACAAGCAACAAGGTTATAGCCATAAGTAGAAAATGAGATAGACAATAGGAAGGATGAGAAGAAGAATAGTATAGATTAAGAAAGATATAATAGAGATGTATGGATGGAAAAAGAAAAAAATAATAGATATGAGAGAATAGATAGATGAGAGAGATAATAGAGATGATAGGGAGGGGGGAAAATAGAGAATAGATTGAGAGAGAATAGATAATAGATATGCATAATAGAATAGATAAGAGACGATAAGATACAGAGAATAGAGAATAGATGAGAGATAAGAGAGGGAGCAGAGAGATATTTATTATTATTTATTTATTTATTATTTAAATTTCTATACCGCCCTTCTCCAAAATAGGACTCAGGGCGGTGAACAGCCAAAGTAAAAAACAATACATACAAAATTTAAAAGCAGTTTAAAATAATTAAATATTTTGGCCGTAAAACAACCCAATTTAAGATCAATTTAAAATTAACTCAAGCCAGCCCAGCTAGTTGAAATAAATAGGTTTTCAGGGCCCGACGAAAAATCCGGAGGTCTGTTATTATACGTAACTCTGGGGGAAGGTTATTCCAGAGGGTGGGCGCCGTCACAGAGAAGGCTCTCCCCCTGGGGGTCGCCAGCCGACATTGTCTGGCGGACGGCACCCTGAGGAGGCCCACTCTGTGCGAGCGTACTGGCCGGTGGGAGGCTATTGGTGGCAGAAGGTGGTCTCGTAAATACCCCGGCCCTAAGCCATGGAGCGCTTTAAAGGTGGTCACCAACACCTTGAAGCGCACCCGGAAGACCACCGGGAGCCAGTGCAGCTCGCGCAGGAGAGGTGTTACATGGGAGCGCCTCGTCGCCCCCATAATCCCCCGCGCGGCCGTGTTCTGGACCAGCTGGAGCCTCCGGGTGCACCACAGGGGGAGCCCCATGTAGAGAGCGTTGCAGTAGTCCAGGCGGGAAGTGACGAGTGCCTGAGTGACTGTGCGTAGAGAGTCCCGATCTAGAAAGGGGCGCAACTGGCGTATCAGGCGGACCTGATAAAAAGCCCCCCTGGCCACGGCCGTCAAGTGCTCTTCTAAAGACAGCCGTGCGTCCAGGAGGACGCCCAAGTTGCGAGCCCTCTCCGTGGGGGCGAGTGATTTGCCCCCAATAGCCAGCGATGGCGTCAGCTGGCTATATCGGGACGCCGGAAGCCACAGCCACTCGGTCTTGGAGGGGTTGAGTCGGAGCCTGTTTCTCCCCATCCAGGCCCGCACGGCCTCCAGGCACTGGGACATCACTTCAAGGGCATCGTTGGGGTGGCCTGGGGTGGAGATGTACAGCTGGGTGTCAGATAATGGAGAGAGAATACATAACAGAGAGAGAAATGATAGATAATAAATAGGGAGGGCGGGAGAGAAATAGAGAAAATTTAGAATGCACCCTGAGAAACTTAAAACATTTTTTTTTTCGGGTTTCTGCAATCCTGTTGTGTGTTCTCAGAACCACAACTGTAAAAACCCAACTGAACAACTTAGCTTGCCTATAATAGACCCACAAGTCACACAAAGCCACACAGCACCCAGCCAGAGGAAGAGGAGCCCGAGCTGCCGTTTCCGGGAACCGAGAGCTAATCTCCAGAAAGCAGAAGGCTCGGAGGGTTGTGGGGGGGGGAAGCGAGGCCCCTCGCCCTTTGCAAAGTGTCACCCTCCACAACTTTGCGGTCTCGGCCTGGGTCGGTTTCCTGGGGTGGGAAAGGGGGAGGCGCATTCTTCTGGCAACCTTTTGCCTTTCACCGACTGCTGGTCAGTCTCGGCTTTCCCTCCCATCCCTGCAACACAGAACAGAATCGTAAGGCTGGGAAGGGACCTCGGAGGTCTTCTAGTCCAACCCGCTGCTCCGAGCAGGAGACCTTAATACAGGTGGTTCTCAACTTAAAACAGTTCGCTTAGTGACTGTTCGAAGTTAGAGCAGCGCTGAAAACGGGGACTTGGGACTGTTTTCTCGCACTTAACGACCGTTTGCAGGTCACGAGATCAAAAACTCATACTTGTGACGGTTGTGTCCCGTGATCAGCTCTTGCGACTTTCTGACAAGCAAAGTCGAGGGGAAGTCAGATTCACATCACTGTGTCATTAACAAATTGGATAATCGCTTGCCTGAAATGGGATAGGGTTTTCTGCTTGAATAGGGGGTTGGGATAGAGGACCTCCGAGGTCCCTTCCCAACTCTTGTTGTTCCGTTCTGTTAGTT